TAGTGTTACTGCTAATGAGTTTCTATTCTAGAGTTCTGTCGATATACCACCGTTCCCTGCTAAAGAGAAGTCGTCGAACGCTGTGGCAGGTGGGTATTCTTTCACGGGAAGATTATATGCCCTTACTTATTGTAGATGGGTATTTCATTCCGGTAAAAAGTGGTACGTTTCATTAAATTCAACAAAACACATTAAGTATAATAGTAGTAATTACTACCGGTATAATGGGACATGTGTGATTTCAGACGATGTGGATTTTGAAAGTGACGATGAAATTCTGTTCCGAGATGAACCATCGGATGATTACATTGCTGTCGATGAAGAAATGCGTACGGTATCTGATTTGATTCTAACTTCCAGTGAAGCATGGAGTATAAAGCCTTTGGCGTCAGTTAATCTCATCTGTGGTACGCGCCCTGCATTCGACTTTCATTCAGAATGGTAGTGTCATAATGAATACCTGTGTGGCCTATATGTACAATGAATTCTTTTGGCCAGCTGAGGTGCAACTCGATGCTTTCATCCTCCCAGACAAGTGTGGTACCAATTAACGCCCCGGAGAGGGATGGAAGGTCTGTTTGACCCGGGCGGATATCGAACTGAGATTCGAACACTGACTACGCGTGTGTGGAGTGCGCCACTTGCGAATTCACTTTTCACAATCACGATCTCAAGTGCTGATCTGCATCTGTCGAAGGATAAGAGCAACATTGTCTAAATTGATTACCCCTGTAGGTTGCGGTGTAATCAGAGCCCCGCAACCTACAGGGGTTATCAATTTAGACTATGTTGCTCTTATCTTCAAGTACCTCAAGAAATTGGTTCAGTAGATGATTGATTGGATCTGACAGTACATGTGGTAGCTGCACCCCCCCCCCCCCCCCCCCCACTGCTGCTAACAGCTACTACAAGTACTGTGATGAATCCCTTAGCTCCTTCAATACCGGAGGGTGATCTTCAATAGTATATCGTGAAATAAACAGTGCGATGTTGCAGGGGAATGATTCATTCGATGAGGTCGAATTTCTACAAACTGTCCCTGGAGCTGGAGCTGAGGTCCATCATTATGACTCAGATGATTCCTTCAATGACGAGGTGAGGCCGCCAAAGCCGTTCGTTTACTAACTTTACTAACTACGATAGAGATATTATAGAACTAAAGTTACCTCAAAAGGGGTGTCGCAATCCGCTAATTACTCTGCCAGTAATGTGCACTTTGTGATTGTCTAGGAAAGCAACAATCCATAAGTTCCACTTGTGGGTGTTTTTCTCAGGGTCATGGCTCTGAAGCAGGAACATTTTGTCCCTTCTTACAAAACCTTCCCTTGCCAAATGTTAAAATATAGTCCACTCTTATGACTGTCACAATTTTCCATTTTGTACATTAATTCATCATGGCCCAGACAACAAGTTGTGGGAGCGGTACTAATTGTTCCATTTCAGGTGATACTTACTCAGTCACAACCGACCGATCCTGATGGAAAGCGACACGGTAATTTTGATCTTATTGTCCTTTCAAGTAGATTTCAATAGCTGAAAGTAAGCAGTGAGATCACATACGTGGATTGTTTTTTTATGTTCTTGTGGTTTTCTATCTGACGAATCACTTGTGTGGTTGTGGTGCGTTTTTCATTACTGTAGGGTAGTAGGGTAATATAATAGAAGACAAAAGAGCACCGTGTTCGGGAATCACCGAAACAGGATCATGACCCATCCGAGACAGAGGATTTGCCTTGATATTTGGCTGACCTTTGTGACTTTCACAGCTCGAACGCTGTGGAAAGCAGCGTTTAGACGGGAAAATTTAAGTCGAAACCCTTCGCGCACCTGCCTTTGATAGTCAATCAGTAAGGATTCAAACCGTTTTCCAAACAATACTCTCAATATGTTGATTTATAAAGTATTAGCCCTTTTGTGGTCAATGGCTTGTTCTTCAGATATGCATGGACAGTTCCGTGGATTTTTGAAGGACGACGGGGATGAATTTGAAAACGAAGGTTTGTTGTTTCCATTCCGTACATGGGTATAAAAGGTACTTGTTGAATGATAGTCCCGATTGCTTAATTTCTGTTCCGTTTATAGTCGAAGCGCTGGGTCAGGAGCTCCGCGACAGAGTATACAAAACGCTGAAGGAGAAGTTCGGGTTCAATTCGTTTCGACATCGACAAAAAACGGCAATCACAGCTATTCTGCTCGGTTACGATGCATTTGTGCTCATGCCTACGGGTGAGTCCTAGTTCATCCTAACAGTCTATTGATGTAAGGGTCAGCCATTGAAACTCTTCAAAGACGTGGCTTGAAATGGTACCTTTGTATCATGCAGTATAAGTAATTAATCTTATTAGTAGTATCGTAAACCGTTTCTAGATAGCTTAAAAGTAGAGGAAATCTTGTTGGCGTAAAGTAGAAGAAGTCTTGTGCATTTTATAGGTGCTGGAAAAAGTCTCTGCTATCAGCTGCCAGCCGTGTTGTCTCCTGGAGTAACAGTTGTGGTGTCTCCGTTGAAATCACTTATCGAAGACCAGCGGGTGAAAATGCAAGATTTAGGGGTACGGTACAGTCTTTCGCTATACATTACTTCAATGGAATTCTGAAAATATCGATTTTAAAAATGCCAAGTAAGTTGGTGGTGTGGGTGTGCGGTCGCAAAGCGGTTGGCATCAGCTTTTCATCAAAGAATCTCTTCGAAATCTTACCTCTTTAACTGATGAACTGCCTCGAGCTGTATTTTCCGATTAGGATTTTTGGGATAAGAAGAATCGATTAAGCTAGATTGAAAAATTGAATAAATTCACTTACTCAGAAGTCCGAGCAGGCAGTTTTAGCCGCTTCGCGACCGCACGCGTCGTGAACGTAGATTTTCTAGCGCTGTCTATATTTTTGTAAAAGACGTCCAGATGACACCTGCATTTACCCTACCCTGGTTCCCTCTTCAGATTACTTGTGAAGCATTGACATCAGACCTGAGTGACGACCAACAGATGTCAATTTATAATCGATTGATGCACTCTCCGCCTGATATCAAGCTTTTGTATGTAACTCCTGAGAAGGTAGCTCCTCCTTCTTATTCCCTGAGAACGATGACTTCTTTAATGCCTTCCTTCAGATCAGCCTTTCTTCAAAGTTGGCAAACGTTTTTGTTAGCTTACATCGTCAAAACTTTTTGGCTCGATTCGTTATTGATGAAGCTCATTGTGTATCACAGTGGGGTCATGACTTCAGACCAGATTACACAAAATTGAAGTCACTGCGGCAGGAGTATGCTCACCCCAAGGTAAATTTTGCTACCGGATATTGACCAATATAGAATGATATGCAGCTGGACTGGCACCTATAACGAGTCATATTCATCCCTGATCTTCTCTGAAGTTTCTTACAAAGCACGTGTATAAAGAAAATGGGGTCATGCTATCCGTCCTCAAGCGAATTTAAGTAACTCTGAAATCAAGGGAACCATTACACGCTTCTTTAGTGAGACAGGCGGGTGCAACGGCAGATGTCGTCTTGGGGTTGAGTCGTTTAGCAAAACTCAGGTGTCAAGGTAATGTAGGTGTAAAGGGTGAAGATAGTGTGGCTATGGCACAATTTGAAGCCTGTGCACAGTAGTGCTTGATGAATATGGGTGAGAACTTTTTTGAGGTAACTTCGGTTGTAGAATCGAAATTACTTCCCAATATAGTAATATAAGTTTTCAATAATAGCCAATACTTAGTATTTTCGATATTTTTCACCTCTGAGGAGGTTTCACCAAAGCTGTCCTTGATCAAGCATCATGGAATGCCATCTTTGTGAGGGCGCCCAGGTGAACACGACTTGGGCGGCATCATGGAATGCCATCTTTGTGAGGGCGCCCAGGTGAACACGACTTGGGCGTGGCTCTGTCTCGTTCTTCAGCCCCTCCCCCTCCCCCTTTCTAGTTGGCGTCAGCCAGTCATATCGAATCAGTACGGTAGTGAACTAAGAACTCATGAGCGGTTCTCGAGACCTTCCTTTGGTTTCGTTCTAGAATAGGGTCGAGTATTTGGGATTTTTACATTGCTGAAGCCCTTTCTGAGCGGATTTTTTAGGTACCGATAATGGCTTTAACAGCTACAGCTACACCGAAAATCGTCGCCGATACGAGGGATCATCTAGGAATTGTGGATTCAAAATTGTGAGTTTCAAAGCTTATGCTGGTTCCACCTCTTAATTAATAACTATCCTAAATACATTTCTTTGTACACACCTAATTATAAAGCATTTTCTGGACTTGTCTGCTGCACTTTCGGCGCTGATCCCGAGCGATGAGTAGCGTTTGAAACTTTGTATAAATTTTATTAGTTATTTTATTATTTACTTATTTCAGATTTATAAGTAGTTTCGTGAGATCGAATCTTACCTATGAGGTTGTGCCGAAAATGGCGAAAACATTCGAGAATGTGATCAATCGTATGAAGCAGCTGTATCCCGGAAAGGCTGGCATTGTTTACTGTTTATCCAGGTCTCTTCAATTAGAAGTTATCTCAATAATTTAAAAATTCTATCACAATTATACCTAGGAATGATTGCGAAAAGGCGTGTTCAGTGGTGAACAAGGCTGGAATACTGGCTGATGTATATCATGCAGGACTTTCCGATGTAAAAAGAAAGCAGGTCAGTTGAGTTGAGCTGGAGGTGATAGGGCAGATGGGGCCTTTCAATGCTGAAGAAATGTATTTTTTGTTTCTCTGTTTATTTCTTATTTAGTTACAAGCCTTTGACGTCATTAATATGGCGTCACGTCAATTTTTCAATTTTTTGAAGTTTTTTTAGGTACAACATCGCTGGTTGCGAAATAGTATCCACGTCATATGTGCGACGATTGCCTTTGGAATGGGTATCGATAAACCAGATGTTCGATATGTAATTCACACCAGGTTCGACTTCTGACTTCTTCTTCTTCCTTACATTGATCCCTCGCAGTCGTATGGTACGCTGTTCTAGTTAATAGTCTCACTTCCGTCGGTGTGCAGCATCTTCTGTCATTGCCTTGGCTGCAGAGAGTTCCAGCCTGATCACGTCCCTTCATCTTTTCTTTGAGGCCCCTCGTGGTCGCTTCCCTTGAGCTTCATATTCCATTGTTTCTTTATTTGGATCTCGCGCTCCTGCCTTACCATCGTGGTACAGAAGTGAGTGGTAAGGCATGGGTTGCGATGAGCGCGGGATCAATGCAGTGACAAGTTTTACTATCAATTTATCTGCGGAGGCAGTGTAGTGGCAAGTGGTGCACTAACACACTCGTACCTGTATGGTCCCGGGTTCGAATCCCGCATCGATATCCACCTGAGCCGGTCATACCTTTCATCTCTCCGGATCGGTTAACTGCTACCAGACCCGTCTGTGAGGATAAAAGTACTGTCTTGTACATCGGCTGGCCACCGTAAATCATTGATTGCATAGGCCACATACGCACTTACCACAAGATGGAAACAATAGCCAAATAAGCTGTCATATTTTGGGTGGCGGTACGTCTCCCCGTTTTCCCACCGCAAGCGGCAGTGGCTCCGCGGTGGCTACCGTATCCTTTCATCGAGAATCGAAATCTCCCCTTCATAGCCGCGACTGCGCGGGATCGGATGCGGCGAGCCCGTCGCGATTTTTGGGGAGAAGTCATCATACCCCATGGTTATTCGGAATTGCTAAAAATGTCGTTTTCAGTATTCCGAAATCCATCGAAGGTTATTATCAAGAAACTGGACGAGCTGGACGAGATGGAAATCCGTCGTACTGTCTACTGTTGTACAGCTATAATGATGTCTTGCGCTTGAGAAAATTTATTGAAGGTTAGAATGCATGCAGAAATGAAATTGATCAGAAAAAGTAGACGTACGTTGGATCAGGCGATTTCTAGACGAGGACAATCGTGCTGCAGCTAGTGTCCGTTCTATGCATACACAAAATATCTATCAAGTGGTAACGTACTGTGAAAATGTTTCGGTCTGTAGAAGAAAGATTCTTGTTGAACATTTTGGAGAGGTAAGCGATTTTAGTGGGTTACAACGGCTTTTCTTTGCTGACGATATTGAAGGGATTCTTCTTAATTCGGAGTGTTAGAAAAGAAGACCCTTTTTTTAGGTGTACGATGCTCAGATGTGTCAGAAAAGTGGGACACCGTGCGATGTATGCCAGCGCCAGAAGCATTACGCTGGAGCGGTGAAGTTATTCGATGTGTCTGATGAAGCGTTTATGCTCATTAGTGCAATGACTCGAATGAAAAATACTACATTACGGTAAGTAAGTGGTTACGGTCACTTGTAGTTGTGAAACCTGCTGTCAAAAGTATCCAACGTCAGACCGAATGGGTCATGGGGATGAAGGTTGAAGTCGTGGGGAAGGGGTTTTATGGATGGAAAACAAAGCGGATAGTGACATGATAACATCCTTTCGAGTTCACTGGCGTTGAATCTCTATGGACGCTGACCTTGCGGGAGCACCTTTCCTTTTGGATAAAGGCTGTTCTTATCGCGAGCTGAAACCTCTTCCTTTCCATCCCCTCTATCTGAAGGGCAAGACAATGAGTGCTGTAAAATTGAATCTTGGAGTGAATAATACCCTCTGTTTTCCTTCAACCACAGAATTTGAGGAATCAAATTGAAAAAAACACGTTGGGAGACCAGAATTTTCGTCGCTACCCTTTGTATAGTAAAGGACGAACTGGATTTGAGAGAAAGGGTTGGCAAGGTAGAATTGCACGCCCCATAATCGTAGCTTTATTATCCTTTTCTTTTTGCTGATTGGAAAGTATTCTCGAGTGAGTGGTTTCACCCAAGATTTTTAGGAAGCACAATGTATTTTCCTCCCTTTCAGCATCCTTGGAGTTCGACCGCGTGGTTTGCCACATCAAGAACAGTGGTCGGTTTTCTCACCGCTTCCTACATAAAGTCTCGGATAAAGCCTTGGGGCGTAAATTAGTCCCATTTGAGGGTTGCGCCCACGCATTTGGCTTCTTCTCAGAATCGTAATGGCCTTTTGAATACGTGTGTGGCCTATACAATGATCTGCAGCGGTCCGCCGATGTACAGTCAGAGCTTTCTTCCTCCCAGACGAGTCTGATGCAAATTAACCGTTTCCGAGTTTTTGGAAGGCTTGTTTGGCCTGGGCGGATATCGATCCGGGATTTGAAGCCTGACCACCATGCGTTTAAGATAGTGCGCCACATGCCACTACACCACCCCTGCCCATAAGCCAACTTGCACAATTAAAATTCTTGTCCTCACGTCACTTTGCATCTAGTAGGTTTTACAATTCACTCCTTTTTTAGATACTTGGCAAAACTGTTTCGAGGAGATCTGGATAAAAAGACCTCAGAGAAAGCCTCACGGTTAGGACATACCGCGTTCCCAATCTACGGTCGAGGTGTTGGCATGTCTGAGCAGGATTCGCTTCGATTCCTTAGAAAAATGGTTGGCAATGTTTCTTCGATTGAGCCTACTTCTTTGACTTTTCGAAGCTTCCATAAACTATTATACTTTTCTGAGGGTCTGCTAACGGTCCCATAAACGGCTTAGGCGATGTACAAACCCAAACGACGACCTTTCATGATGTTGTTGAGGCTGTAGAGGTTGCACCATTACCACCGGGACGCATACGTTGCACGCAGGCAGCTTACTGTAGCCACCTGTGCGCAATTGCACACCCATCTGGACAGCTCGTCCAACTACCCTTTCAATGCAATTTTTGTCGCCTCATTCTCTTCCTATTCCTTATTTTACTAATTATTTGGTGCCTTATATTCCTCTAATCACGCTGATTTTCGCATTTTTTGACCATCCTCAGAGTTGTCGTGGACTCTTATCATGTCTAAAATAGTATCACCCCAATTCTAGTGACAAAAAGGAACTTCCTACTGAAAACAATTCGCCTTCTTGCTTTTCGTTCTTCTGGGTAATTTGAGCTCCTCATTTTTGGCAAATCTGACCATTGAGTGGTTAGATCCGACTATGTTGTGATCATCGCGGTCAGGTGTCCAAGATGTATGTCCAAGTTGAAATTCCCATGAATCTTGAGGCTTTTTCTGGGAAAGCTGCAGAAAATAAAATTTCAACATTAATTTATGATAACAGTTTTTAAATAGTTTCTGTGGACCAACAATTTCTAAGGTCGCCCTCGTCTTTCCCTCTTTTGAAGAAAGCAGCAACTCCGGCAGTAAAATATCATTATAAATCTCGTTGTCAGCGAAGTGACTGAATAATTGAGGATTATGCGATAAAGTTTTCAGGTTGTTGAAGGGTACATAGAAGAGCGTCTGTATAAAACCCAGTACGCTACTGTAGCTTATGCTGAACTCACTCTCAAAAGTCG